TGGCCAGGATTGGAAACAGTAATATGTACAAAAAAGGAAGAATTGCTGGGCACAGCTGGGTCTCATCTTAATGGTGGGAAGAGGCTTCAGGGCAAATCAGGCCTTTTGCACAAGTGCCCAAAGGCTAAATTCCACCCAGCAATTACTGTCCTTGGCTAAACTTAAGGACTAGGGACTGAGAGTTTATGTTGAAGTTGTTTCCCATTCCAAACAGACTGTCAATGGCTTGTCTTTTGGGGAGTGCTTATATATTTATTAAGGAGCTGCGGTGGCTCAAGTGGTTAAGACGCTGAACTGCAGGCTGTGGAAGGTCGGTAGTTCAGCAGTTCGAGACCCGGGTGCCGCATGACGGAGTGAGCTCCCATCTCTAGTTCCAGCTCCTGCCAACCTAGCAGTTCGAAAGCAAGAAATTGCAAGTAGATAAATAGGTACCACTTCAGTGGGAAGCTAACAGCGTTCCATGCGCCTTGGTGTTTAGTCATGCCGGCCACATGACCACGGAAACATCTTCGGACAGCGCTGGCTCTTCGGCTTTGAAACGGAGATGAGCAATGCAACCCTAGAGTCGGATTCGACTGGCTTTTGAGCAAGGGAACCTTTACCTTTATATATTTATTAACTAAAAAGCTGTTTTAAAAAAAATCCTACTTTTTCTCCTAAAATTCAAGGTAGTAGAAGCTGCTGTGGTGAAAACTAAGTTCTGGCTACATGAAACAGTAGTTTGACTCACACAAGTTTACATTTTGTTAGTCTTTAATCCCTCTTTTCCTGCTGCAAGCTACAGGACAATTCTATGCAGAGCAGTCCTATACTCTTTTAAGCCGAATAACTTCAATGGATTTAGAGGGTGTAACTCTGCTTAAATCCATACTATAACACAGCTATCTAGAATTAAAGTCTGGCTGCGTGCATTACTCTTCATGCACACATGTTGCTTTAAAAAAAAAAAAATCCTGACCAGTATCTAGTACTCTTTTGGTCAGTGCTACTTTCTCAGTACAGCAGGCTGCTGAATGGGTGGACTTTATCCAGGAGTTCTTTGACTGGAAATTGCCACAGCATCATTGCAGCCAGCTATCTAATAAACTGGGGAGAAAAGAATAAATATATCATCTACAATCTCTTTTTCTTCTCTAAAGCGGGCAGTTATTTCTTTTCTATGGTTTTTGGAAGAGCTTCAGAAGTTTTTACTCCATTTACTGCAGACGGATCTTGCTGTCAGCTTCACTAAATGTGAAAAAAATAATAATAAAGTTTTCTTGCCAGTCCTGAAAAGATTGGTTGTCTTGGCAGTGTTTAGACGAGGCAGGGGGGGAAAGAAAGGGGGCTGCCTTGCTACCACAAGCAATTATTTTCTGTTTTACTAGAGTATGTGTTATTCACTCCATCTCCACTCACAATATGCTCTTTTTATTCAGATTTTTTTAAAATAGCCTGACACTAAACATTAAAGTACTGAGCAAAAAATGACAAGAGAGGGGAAATCCCTAAAATATTTTAAAGAGGTCATAACCATGCAACAACTATGTAAAAGATATACTGTGACCCCGGTCACACGGGCCTGATATCGCGGGGGGGAGGTGTGGCTAATTGCCCTGGCGCAGTTTGATCACAATTACACAATCAGACGCGCTGGCGGCACACCACGGGTCCTTCCCTCGGCGCCGGTGGGTAAACGAGGGACCGGAGGGGAATGCCGTGCGCCGGCGCGATCACACCACGGGCATCTGGAGGCAGCCCGTGGGAAATGTTTACTAGTACCTTGGAGGTACTCGTTTTTTAATGCACATTGTCGGCAGTAAGCCATGGGTGCGCTCCACTTCCCAGATGTTGGGGTGTGATTGCGCCTGGATAATCCGCCTACCTTCCATGCCTCTCCCGCGGCAACTTTGCCGTGTGACCGGGGCCTGTGTGTTGCATTTAAATAATGGCCAGGTTCAAACAGCTCAGTAAACTGTGGTTAGTTGCTACATGAATGAGCCTTGGAGATTGTTGGGATTTTACACACACACACCTTCTTCCCCCTTGTACAACCAACAAATTAGATATTTCTGGGTTCAGGTCAAATCACAGCTTGCAGGGAAAATGCAGACTTGGAGGAAATTGATACTTGGCAACCTGGTTAACAGGGCAAGACACAGTTTGCAGGATCCCACAAGACTAATTCTCAAAGCAGCAAACCAGGGTTTATTGTTCTACTCAAATCCAGCCACTATGGGTAAGGGAAAAGACTTTGTATTTTCTGTGCTAACTTCCAGTGTGAGTATTTCATATGCTGTAGTATTCACTCAGTAAAAGCCATAAACTGAGGCTGAAAGGGGTTTGAAGTATTCTGCTGTACATTCACCATGCTATGCCCAGTGGTGCCAGTAGGCAGAATAGATACATGTAGTAGAGATAAGAAAGCACAGGGATTTCCTAACACCATCCATGATACAAGAGAGAAATATAACAGAATCCTGAAAGCATCCCTCGTTGTCCCCTCCCCCCCCAAAAAATATTTCATGCCCCAAGCAAGCAAGCAAGCAAAAAAAGCAATGGGAGGCAACACTGATTCACACTGCATATCAGGAATACTAGTCCATTGTTTTAGAAGCAAATCAAGAAAATGCACACTTCGGAATGCAAACTGAATTGAACCTCCAATTTCAATCCAGAAAAACACATCTTGTACCCCAAATATCAAAGGTCTCAGGAACAGTGATTTAGCATTACCATTTCTACAAATGCAAATCTAAAAGAAGGATTCTGGCTCCAGCTGCTGCTTTACCTCTTTTTATTAGTCTGTGCATTTGTCTCAAGCATCACTACTCCTTGTTAAACAAAGATTGTGAGAATCTAGGTTATGACCAACTATGTTTTTCTGATGGCTTGCAAACTTATTTTGAATAACCTTGCTCCATTCAGACCAGCTAGGAGCAGAAGGACACAATTCACGGGGAAACTACCTTCTGCTGCTGCTTTCAATTATTTTGATTCAAAAGGCTGTAAAAACAAGTCTTCTGATTTAACACAGCCAGCTTGCAAAGCAATTACCCTGTACCCCTTGTAACGATACCACCATCTGTGGTGGGAACGCCTCTGACTAAAATGCCATCTCCTTATGAGACATTACTATAATCCCAGGCAGAACTTAACCCATGACCATATGGCAAGCTTAATCACACTCAGCCTAGCAGTTTTCAACATCATTTATTCTGATTTCCAATGAGATTCATACATTGGATTTATTATTATTCTTATTATTTTTTAAAGTGCCTACCCCTTTGCAAGTTAACACAGGAAAATAGTGGAAAGCCTCTTGGCACACAAGACAGCTTTATTCAAAAGACAGAGAGAAGGTGGCAGATCTCATTTATAATATGTGGGTAAATCCCAGGACTATGAATTACCTTTCCTTTTGAAAAAAATCATCCAACATAAATCCAAACACATCATAGCTAACTGAGTGCCTTGCTGCAAGGCCCTCCTACTTCTGCTTATTATTCAACTGTATATTTGATGTTATTTAGATTCATTGCCCAAGTGTTGATTGAAACAGTCTGGTGCAAACCTACTGTAAAGGTAAAGGTAAAGGTTCCCTTGCTCGAAAGCCAGTCGAGTCAGACTCTAGGGTTGCGGTGCTCATCTCCGTTTCAAAGCCGAAGAGCCAGCGCTGTCCAAAGACCTTTCCGTGGTCACGTGGCCGGCATGACTAAACACCAAGGCGCACGGAATGCTGTTACCTTCCCACCAAAGTGGTACCTATTTATCTACTTGCAATTTCTTGCTTTCGAACTGCTATGTTGGCAGGAGCTGGAACTAGAGACAGGAGCTCACCCCGTCTTGCAGCACCTGGGTCTCGAACTGCTGAACTACTGACCTTCCACAGCCTGCAGTTCAGCGTCTTAACCACTTGAGCCACCGCAGCTACTGTAGATGCTCCCAAATTCCCACATTTAAAAACCTAGGCTAGCTATATCAGTGAAATGAGAGCAGATTCAAATATGCAAAAACAGCATGTGATGTTGAACTTCCTGATCTGTATCACTTCAGAAATTAGATGGAAGATAGGCAACAATGCAGTTGTCTAGGCCACAGTCCGTATCTCTTTTCCTCCCCCTCTTATGTCTCACCCCATGAAGCCTGCTCTTAGCCTGTAAGCTCTTTGAGGCAGAGAATGACCTCCCATCCCCCATGTGTTGCCCAGTGGCTTACTTATTTTATTTGAAAATAATAATCTTGAAGACTGGGTTTTGAGAAGTCTGATTCTATTGAAAACCATTTCCTCATGTTCATAGCATCTTAAATTGAAGATATGATGCTACCTTAAAGTGACCATTACCCTGTATCCAAGTACACTGTGGTCTGGGAGAGGCTCCCGGATCATTTGGTGGAAGGACCCCTGCCGAATACTTCCTACGAGTTTTCTTAACGGTAGATTATCAGTATTGATCCTGGGAACTTCTGCATGCAAAGTCTGTGCTTAGCCATTGAACTATCGACTCTTTCCCCAACTGCTTTTTAGCAAGATTAATTGCTCACTAACTTTGGTAGGTAACGAAGTATTGGGCCTCCTATAACACATGTTGCTTACAAAAAGCTAGGGCATCAGCCAGGATCCACACATTTGTTCCTGCCTTGGGCCTAGCCTTTCTTTTTATTGCTAAAATTATTACTGTCCTTTTAAAAGCATAGCATTTACAGGAGATGAGGCACATAAGCCAGAGCACTTGACAACTGAAAGTGATTAAGAAATTCTCCCACCAATTCCCAGAACTATTTACTTATTTTTGCATTCCATGGTCCTGGCAGCCTTAAAGCCTTCTGCCAGCACAAGACCTACAAACCTTCAAACAGAGCACATGCCAGAGGACCACTCTGAAGACTGGGGTACACAAAACAGAAGGTTGGAAGATGTGAATAAAAAATCCTGAAATTATCAGTAAAGCTGAGCATTCCAAAGCAGGGAGAATGACCCAGCCTAATTTCAGCTGACAGCAAATGACATGTATGCTTACCTCCAATGTGAATGACAACACCACATCTGATTTTGACAACTGAACTTCATTTTCATCTCCTATATCCAAGAAAGCACAATTCTGTGATCGTTTTAACTTCTGTAGTTTACATTCTGGGCCACCTTTAGAAACTGGAAGGCTTTCCAAATTTGCCATTAGCAAATTCACTGAAGACCGTAATTCTTCTATATACATCTGCTCCATTTCTCTCGCCACAAACTTTGGATATTTTCTTTCCTTGAAAATAATTTAAAAATTGAGAAAAAATTTAAGTTATTGTTCAGACACAGTATGTTCGAAAGACAAGCCTGACTTCCAAGTAGTTATTTTTAAAGAAACCTATTAAAACCTATCATACACAGTTAACTAGTCCTCTGCTTTTTTTAAAAAATGAATAGATTATTTAGGGTGAAAGATTATTCAAATTAATATTTAATTCCAATTTGATGGCTACATAAATTCCTGATCAGTGTTGAGAAACTGGGCATCAGTACCTAACAAGAAAGGAAGGATAATCTGTTTTAATTGTTTATTTGTAAATATTTATATTTTAAGGGAAATATGCCTTTAACACATAGTGCTATTAGTAGAAACAAGTAAAAAAAACCCATAATCAAATAGACAATAAATCACATCCAATAACATAATCAAAAGAAATAAAAGAAATACTCAATTTCAAGTCCAGTATATGTGTAGAACTTTGGGGATATATGCTGTTGGGTGGAGCCGTGAAAAACTTAATTTGCATATTGGGAGGAGTGTGTGTAGTGAGTGACTGGGAAAAAACCAACCTGGGGAGGGGGTGGAGCAAAGAGAGGCCTGGTTGTTTGTCTCTCCAAGGACTGGATTGCTGAAAGGCCTCAGCTGAAGAGGTTTTTGTCTGGTGCAGGCCCTCCCTTGATGGACAGCACTTCTTCTGGAGGAGGTGAGGCCCCAGACATATCTGACTTTGAACTGATGCTGATTCCTTTTCTGGGATGGTGAGGAGAGAGGCCCTGAGAGCTTCCCTCCCCACTGGAGGCCTGCTTCAGAGGGACTGTGACTGAACCAGCTCCAACAAGAGAATAGTGCTTCTGGAGCACTGACTACTGGAACTTTGGTTTGGGAAGGGAAAGGAGTTTGGGAGTGGGAAGTACAATACCCTGTGTGCAGAACTGTATTTTCTTTGTTGCAATAAATAGTTGCTTTACTTAAGCCAAGGTGTGTGAGTGGGAGGGGGGCTTTAAGAAAGAAGGCCATAAGCCTTGCTCTTATTTCCACGCCTGGGTTACGTATGAATTCAAAACTCTTAGTTTAACTAATAAAGGCTTGTACAAGCGGGTGTCTTCAAGACATTCTTAAAAATGCTTCAGACCATGGAACACAGCTAGAAATTGGACCCACACTTCAGGGTGAGAGCAGCTTGCTCATGCTGTGGTGATGAACTTAATATGACCAGGCAGGGGTCATTTCGTAGAAAAAGAGCTAGGGGAACTCATTAGCATAACTCATTAGCATATGCCACACACCCTGACATCACCGGAAGTGTGTCATAAGGCCACACACCCTGACATCACCGGAAATGTGTCATAAGGCCACACACCCCGCCCCCAACGGTTCCGGCCGCCACCCCCGGCCTTGCAGCTCCACTGCTGAGCCCCATGAGGGGCCCGGCGGTGGACCTGCAAGGCCGGCGGGAGTGCAAGGAAGCCCCGCGAAGGCCCTCCCTGGCCCCAGGCAGGCAGGGGTGGGGAGAGGCAGGGAGGAAGCAACTTACCCTCCCTCTTCTCCTGCCTCCTCCTGGCTGAATGAGGGCCGGAAGCGGGGTGGCTGGAAGCAGGGGGCGGGGCTTTGTCATATGCCCCGCCCCCCGGTACCTCACCCGGGGGAACTGTGTTCCCCCGCGATCCCCCCCGAAATGACCTCTGTGACCAGGTATTGCCATAATATTCTTTGCTGTTGGGAAGAGAAATGTCCTGGCAGCACATGCTAATAGTAATTTCATGCTCATGCTCATATTTCATAATTTCATGCTCATAATGATTTCATTGCCACAGCTGAGGAGGAATACATAGAGGATGATTTTCACATCCTGAACCAAAACTATAAAAGCCATAAACAAAGTTTGAGTCCAGTGGTACCTTTAAGACCAACAAAGACTTATTCAAGGTACAAGCTTGCACCCACACGAAAGCTTATGCCTTGAATAAAATTTTGTTGGTTTTAAAGGTACCACTGGACTCGAACTTTGTTCTGCTGCTTCAGCCCAACACAGCTACCCACCAATGTTCCCTCTAAGAACAGAGAAGTTCATATCCTGAGCAGAATAAAACTGCTGTGATCTTAAAATGGGCAATGGGCAGTTAAAGACTGCTGCTGGCTTCAGACTGCTGCTGAGTGGGGCCTCCTGTGTTAATGAGTGGCCACTCACGCATACAGCTTAGAGGGAATGCTGCTGCCCACCTGAATCTATAAAAGCCATGGTTTATGCCCATCATCACCTCCCATATCTGCACAGCCACCAGCAAAGTTTATAATGAACCCCCTGAAATGCTGGCAGCACTGCTGGGGTGCGGCTTGTTTCATGAGTGTTTAACCAAGTACAACCCTTGGTTCTCTCCCCCGACATCTTGTTCATTGGCATACCAACATCTTCACACGAAGACACTGCAGTTTCTCAGTATTAGGCCCAAAAAAGGCTGCCTATCCGTACCCCATATATTTAACAGTTCCTTACCAAGAGAGAGTAAAGTGCACAATTTTAAATACATAAAGTTATTCGTTCAGGAGAGGAATTTCCATTTTGATCCTTGATTCCATCATTATGCTTTCCCCTGGGCCCCTGCTTAGTCCCATGGAAAGACACACATTATAACAAACTTTTTGTGTTCTTCAAAGTCATTCTAAAGATAATGAACTGCATCCAGAATAAGTTTCTTCACACAAGGGTTCTGTTAAGTTGGTCAAAACTCAATGTGCTTGTGTGAAATGCTGTCATGTCGCAGCCAACTTATGGAGTTCCTGGCAAGGGGCTTTCAAGGTAAGTGAGAAACAGACAGAGTTTGCCATTGCCTTCCTCTGCGGCCTTCCTTGGTGGTCTCCCTTCCAAATACTGACTTAGTCAGCTTCTGAGATTCAAAGAGATTGAGCTATATCCTGCCACCTTTACTCTGTCAAAACTAGAAGCTACCTATTAATATATTTAAATCTCAATGTGGTCCCATAAGTAGATACTTAAATCTGGCCACAGGAGCCATGAACAGACACAGCAGAGCTGCCGAAATATTTTAAACCTATGGGCTAGCTCACACTAACTCAGCTTTGAGGGAACACTGGTCACCCCAACAATATTGCTAGCCTTCAAACCTTAGTTTCTGGTCAGTAAAAGGCAGGGGGAGAGGGAAGGGGACAGGGCTATTTCCAGGGCTATTCTGATCTCCCAGTATTCCCCTGTTCCAATCCTTCCTGCCATGGAGGAAGAACTCACTGGGGCTAGGGTCCCACAGCAGCTAATCAGCAATGTGCTACCTTGCAATTTGCACAACACACCAGGTGTGGCAGTGGTTATGGGACAAATCACCTGGACTCAGTGGGAGCCTCCAGAACTTTCTCAGGAAGAGACTGCCAGGGGGAGGGGAAAAGGGAAAGCTGAAAGCCAGTGTGGTATAGCAGCCAGAGAGTCAGAACAGGATCTGGGAGACCCAGGTTTGAATCCCTATTCTGCCATAGAAGCTTGCTGAGAGACCTTGGGCCAGTAACTCTCTCAGTCTAATTTACTTCATAGGATTGTTGTGAGGATAAAAAGAAGGTGAGGATAATTATCTAAACGGCTTTGGGTCCCCACTGGGAAGAAAAGTGAGATATAAGTGAATAAATAATAAATAAAGCTGAGGACTGACGGGGCAGAAAAATATATTTTTGGTTGGTGAGTGGAAAAGAGAGAAGAGCAGGGAAAGGGGAAGGGACATGGGAACTGCCAGGAGAAGAGAAAGATGTAATAGTGAGATCCAGGTGAAAGTAAGGTGCAAATTGTTGCAGGTTCCCCACTCTTGCGGGTTCCCCGCTTGTATCCATCTTATAGGACATGGTTGGATTAGGACCAAGACACTGAAGCCTCCTGGGCTGTACTTCCTGTCACGCTGGGGCAATGGGGGGCAATGTTAAATCTCCCCAATACCATCTCCCTGACTTTATCCTCAACCTTTCTCCCAAGACTAATATGAACATTAAAAAGCATAGGAGATCCTGATCACTGTCTGTGATCCGTGAAATTTTAAGCATCGTTCACTACACTATTGTTGTTGCATTGTTCTTCATATTCTGCTTTATTGGTATGTATTATACAGTTTTTCGAGTGCATTCTTTAATTTTGTAATCCAGTTTCTATTGCATTGTTTCCTGTATAGTGTTCCCATTACAATGTTTTTTTATTGTGTAATCCACCTTCAATCAGTGAGAAAGGTGAATTTATAAATGAAGCAAATCAATCAATCAAAGACTTCCTGCATCCTGTGGCCTTTGGCCACAGATTTCTGAATATATATTCCCTGCTATTCATGCATGAGGTGTAGGCAGGGTGCCTTTGTTCAGTCTTGTGTAGAATTCGTGTGTGGGTTCAGGATTCCCACCTACCCAAACATATATGCTCCCATGTATTCGTTCCCTACCAGAAACTGTCCTTCAGAAAACTACTGCCTTTTCCTTTTCCCCCTCTATTTTTAATTTATTTAATTTATACCCCGTCCTCCCCGCAAAGGCAGGCTCAGGGCGGCTTACACAATTTGATACATAAATAACAATTAAAATCCACATAAAATCATCTAAAACAGTTCAATTATAAACAATTCAGTGTCATAAAGTGCTGGCGATATTTAATTGATTGCTTAACGATGGTGTACTGTATGAGTGCATACAAAGGTCAAACTAAATGTTCTGCTCAATGATCTTCCTGATACGAGCGATGGCACAGGCTGTAGATGTCAAAGCCAAGGGCTAGGGCTCTATAATTAAGATTGTTGGTGGTAATAGTGGTGGCGGCTTCTTAGTTGAAAGCCTGGTGGAAGAGCTCCATCTTGCAGGCCTTGCAGAACTGTAAAAGATCTTGCAGGGCCCTGATCTTTTCTGGGAGCTCGTTCCACCAGTATGGAGCCACCACTGAAAAGGCTCTGCCCCTAGTAATAGCAAGCCTGGCATTCTTGGGACCCGGGAGGGCCAGTCAATTTTGAGACCCCGGCCGTAGTGCTTTCTGGGGTATGTAT